CGACAGGCTTTTGACCCCGTTTCGCTCTTCCTACCCCCAACTCTGCTTGCTTCTCTCTCTCTCTCTCTCTCTCTCTCTTTCGTCTCGTTTAGTTTTGCTCGATGCTTTGGAAGGCCGCGTGCAGTAGCAGCAGTAGAGCAGCCTACAACGATGATGGGAATATCTGCGCTCAAGATACGTCTATGTATGTGTGCGAGAGAGTTCATATTAAAGCCTGTGTGTACGTAGAGTAATAGTTCATCGACTTTTTCTTCTCGGCTTTCTCTCTTCATCTTTCTCTTGTCATGCTCTCGCTTGCATATAAGCTCGGCGCCGCGGAATTGACTCTAACCGGCAGATATTGGCTGATTTTTATGGCTTTTGATCTTGTTTCGCGAGAGACGACCCGATGCGCACACGTGTCACATGTACAGCATGAATTTGCCATTTCAATTTCATTCCTATGTATAACAATGGAATTTCTTGGTCGAAAATCAAATCGATCCTTCGGAGTGCCATATTGATCCTTCCTTAATAAAAATCGATCGCCTGTTTAAGAACGAAGATCGATCAATCAAACATATTAGAGAGATGTGCCAAAGATAAAAAATATTACACGAAATAACACTGACAATCTGACACACTTGCACTTATACGCATCAAAAAAATATATAATACTGCGAGTTTGATGCAAAATAAAACACCTATAGTACTCGCGTTCACGAGCTTTAATTGGTAATTTCGGGTGCACGCGGGTTGCATCACACAATTGCCCCGTAGAGCTGCAACAAAAGCATACATAACGCAAAACGAGAGAGAGAGAGAGAGGCGGTTTTCACCGCGACTAAACATAGCGAGAAAGAGCAACAAAGCTGGGTGTAGTGTATATAAAGCGAGTCTCGATGAAAACGCTACATTATAGCCGGTTTCTCTCTCTTTCTCTCTCTTTCTCTCTCTTTCTCTCTCTTTCTCTCTTTCTGTATCATCCGAGTTTTTCTTTCAAAGCTGCATTACTCTCTCTCGTTCGACCTCTTCTCTTGGCTTGCGCCGACAATTCCAACGTAAAAAATCCATTTTCCTTTATCCCATCGTCGCATATCGAAGTCGTGTGGCATGTAACCCAGTCTGTATGTATTGAGACTCTCTTTTCTCTCTCTCTCTCTCAAAATGCAAGCCAGACAATGTCCACCGTCGTGTGTATACACTCGCAACGCAGCAACCAGCTCGCGACGAAAAGACGACAAAATGCGCCACATCATCATCTGTATAAATGCGTCGGTTCCGCCTCGACCCGCAAGCTCTCGCGCCAAATAATGATTTGCTCATTCGCGGCTGAATTTTATTTTTTTTTCTCTCTCGCTCTCTCACACACTTTCTTTTCACCCCATATCGCACTACGGCTGCTCTGTTGTTCTATCCTCGAGTAATGTATATACACTCTATGATACACCACTAGGCGCGAGAGACTATATGACTCTAGCTTTTTTTCCTCTTTTCTCTCTCCCTCCTCTTATATTGTAAAGTCGTAAAGAGGTGTGAGTATATGCAGCCCCTCTCTCTCTCTCTCTCTCTCACTCTCTCTATGCATATAACGGCCTGCGCTCGCGCGACGAAGAGTGGGTAGAGAATGCCACATTATGCCTGCTGCTGCGGCATAACACGTCGCGCGCGTTATGCCGGGCTCATTACGTAATTTTTGCCGGCACTAGAGCAGCCGCAGCACGAGTGAATGAGCGAGAGAGAGAGAGACACGTATAGAATAATACGAGCGAACGAGACAGAAGAGAGAGACGAGAGAAAGAAGATGTCAGCTATGGGATGGATATATAGCCCAGCCGCGCGACGTCGAGTGCTGTCATGTGGCCGAGTATAGACACGGCAGCAGCAGCAACGGCCGACTGTACTACGGCGACGACGACGACGCGCAAGCTCGCAAGCTCTCCGTGTGCAGGACTGTGTGACCTGGATTCAAACCAGATTTTATCTCCAATCGCGGTTTGCCGCTGCAGCTTCCTCTTTCTCTCTCTCTCGCTCTTTTTTCCCCCCATTTGCTCTTTCATTTGTTGGCTTTACTTTGCATGTACCCTTTCTTTCTTTTCAAGTTATCATTGCTCTTTATATTTGATTTTTACCCCTCCCCCCCTCTCGCTTTTTTCTCTCTTTTTCATTAACTTTATATATTTTTAAGCCTTTGCCATCGAGAGAGAGAGAGAGAGAGAGAGAGAGACAGAGCGGCGTGGTAAAAGAGGGATTATTCCGATGGAAAGTTTTTAAGATGAAATTTTTTCCTCCTCGTTGATGCGAGTGCTTTGGAGGCGCGCACCTTTCATGTTTATTATTGTTATCCCATTCTCCCTTTGACGGGAGGAAGTTATTACTTATTTCGCGTATATCGACTGCCCAGACAAGTGACCACAGTTTTTTATATAATGACTCGCGCAAACTAATCTCGTGTATACTCGTGTATGTGTGGGCGTACACAAAATAATTAATCCCAATCTACAATCGCGCATGCCAGCACACATGCTCTCGTGCACTCTTTATGTTCATTACTGTTTACTCTTTTTAACGACTCGATGATAAATTTATGCTCGCGTTGGTTTTGCAAAAACTCGGTCGGATTCATATGGTTTTGTTTGTAGATTTCATTATTTAGCGTAGAGTTTTACACGAGTGCTCATTTATTTGTTCTTTAATTTTGTCGATTGAAAAACATATAACATAAGTTTTATTTTACCTGTAATACATTCAAATTCTAAACGAGAATCATAACTTTTATCATCTAATAACTAAAAAAAACCTCAATGAATAATTATTATAAAACTTTTTAAAACATTGTTTTGCAAAAACGACGACACTTCTCTCTTTGAAATCACGATTAAAGTCATAAAAAATACCCGTTTCGATGCCCGGCGAGAGATTTTTTTTTATCCTTTTGTAATTCGTCCTGCACTCTTTTTTTAATGAACGGCTATCGTGATACAATTTTCCACATATCAATGAAAGGAGAGAAAAAAAGCAGCAGCTTTGAAACCGTTACGTACCTGGTACATTTTCATTGGGCCGTGTCTACATCAAGTCGAATCGATTTTATATTGGTAAAAAATGCAGCGCATGTATCACGCACAAACGACGACGACCGCCACCACCGCTGTTATATATACTCGATATATATACGAAAAATATATATTGTACAATACGTATATGTTGTGCAGTAGGGAGAGGAAAGGGGGTTACACATCGGATTCGCTGCATTGCCTCGGCTTTTAAGTCGGTGAATCAATTCGGTTTCGATTATCCTGCTGCCCTGTGTGTGTGTGTGTGTGTGTGTGTAAGCTCGCTCTCGGGGTCTCTCTGCCGCGCGCTTGTATCGACAGCTTGTCGTTGTCGTCGTCGTCGTCAATTACACGGCAGATAATTTATATAGGTACGTTGTACTACGTATATTTGTATATGATAAGAATGGATGTAGAGAGAAGCTGTGTGTGCAGCTGAAAAATCGTAATACGATCTCTTCTTCTTACAATGGCACGTCGATCGCGACTATAAGTCGACTGCATCCGAGTATACGTATAAACTTTCTCGAGAGGTTGTAGTATCGCATCCTTATCAATTTCTCATGAGATCAGCTTTGAATTTGGATTTTACGCTGCTGCGATCGTTGTAATTGGTGCGTGGCACAGTGAATTCGTGCTAACCGAGTGACCGAAGCTCCTTGAATTCATATTATTATAGGCACATATATACAGACAGTCGGTCAATTTGTCGCTCGAGCGATCCTTCGCGTGTCGCGCGTGAACTCTGTATACATCTGAATCGTCCAAACATTCGCTGTAGCTGCTGTGCCTCATAACTAACTCAACAGCGGCGGCGGCTATTGTGCCAAATAATCCGTTGTCTTTTTACCGCCTAAACCTATTAGAAATCGATCCTCTTTATTGCCCACTCTCTCTCTCTCTCTCTCTCTGTTCTCCTAATGATTTAACGCCCTTGCTCTGCCTCGGCGCACTTTGTTATACAGACTAGGCACTTATACGCTGAAACATATATGCGCACGGTATACGTATCGTATGTAGGTGCTACTTGTCTTTGTCAAATCGCTTATATACCCGGCCGCCCCGCTCCGTTCCACGCGCAGCTATTTGACCCTGATCTTTTGAGAGGCGCGCGCGGTGTATCTCTCTCGCTGTATTATCATTTATCCACGAGGTCGACCCACACATACATAGACGGTGCATACGTATATACACGGCTCGCCGATTAAAAAAAAATCTCCGATTAATGTTTCACTCGATTCGGCGGCGGCGGCGGCAGCTTTTTAGAAAACGAAATAATTGACCGCTCCTCTCGGACCTCCTCTATCGGCGTGTCTGTTATGCATCCGTTCTTTGTTATTAAAAGAATTGGGTTAAATATGACTAATTATTCAAGTTGGAAAAACTCGCTTGAAATCGCGTTTTTTTTCCTTTCTCTTTTTTTTCAAGCAACCTCATCGTTTTGCTCGGATCGGCTGAAAATTCTGCTGATCTTTTTAAAATCACAATTTGTTCTTGCTTTGATTTCCGTGTTTTAAAAATTTCGGAATTCTGGTATTATGTACTGCCCCTGGTAGAAATGTTCAAAGTTAATCATGATCTGATGACCATAAAATGCCCATTTGAAATAATCATTGATTTAATTTGTTTTTTTTTTTGTTTTTGCGATTTTTCGTTTTGATTATGTATAAGTATCAAGGACATTTTAAATGGCAATTTAAATGATATTTTACTACAGGCCTACTTTATTAAGTACTTCAGGCCTTCGTCACTAGATGGCGAGTACCTTTCAACCTGTTGTGCAAGTGGCATAATAAAAATAATTGTATCAGTAGAAACATAACATGTAAATAGATATTTATGCATTTTTTTCGGAACTGCAATATCTCGTTTCTAAAGAACAAAATAATTTTACAACATTGAAAAAATGATGTATACAAGATTTATAAATTTGTGTTTACTGATCGTCTTTTTTTATTTTTACAGTGTTCATGACATGGTAAAGCTGTTCAAAGCACGTGATACATGACGATGATGCGACAATAAAGCTACCCTTATGACCACGTCTCAAGAATCTTAGACTAGAATCTCAGTGTCAATCAGCGCTTCCTAACAAAAAAAATAGTATAAAAATTACAACCAGAAACAATCAACCTTTAATTGGAAACAGAAAAATTATAAAAGCACAAAAAGTAAAAAACTATACATAATTAGCATTAAACTAAACAAAAGAAAGGATAACAGGATAAAAGAGCTCTGCAACTCTAAGTGCCAATAGTGAAAAAGCCAAGCAACATTTCTGTGTATGCAACCCCTTCAGTGTCAAAAAGTAAAAAAAATAAACGAACAAACGACTCGAATTAAATTGCATTTTTAACAAGGACAACGTCGGAGTCGAAGCAAACAACAACCCAAAACAAAAAAAAAGTTATCAAAGCCCCCAGCGCAATGAGGAGCAGCGACAACGCAACGGCGGAGGCAACAACACGGCGCGGCGCTACCCGCAGAACTACCCACAACAGCACGTCGTTCGACGGAATCGAGAAGTCGCTGTCGCTGTCGCCAGTAGTCGAGGCTGCTGCTTAACTGCGCGGGAAGATGGGCAACAAATTGTCATGCAGTTGCGCGCCCCTGATCAAGAAAGGCTACCGTTACGAGGATTCGCCGTGGCAGGCGAACGCCCGGGGCCGCTCGAGCGCCGGTGGCGAGCGCAGGGGCGAGACCGGCCACTTGCTCAGGTGCGGAAGCTTAAGAGAGAGGAAGAGGTGCGCATTACCATTCTCATACTCATTATTCAGCGACGAAATTATTGCAAAAAAAATATCTTGCCATTTTTTTTATTTTTTTTATTTGATTTGATTCACGGGGATTGATTTTCTTGCTCGTTATATTCTCGATCGTGCAATATCGATCTCGAATGCTTTACAGACGCAGTGTGGTTTGGTTTACGAGAAGTCAATGATTTCGATGACAATTTAACTTCAAAACGATTGAATAAGTCGGATCGAAATTAATTCGAAAAATCGCAGATACTTACCCGCTCTCAGCATTTCTCGCTATTCATTGCAATAAAAATAAAAATTTCAGAAATCATATCTCAAGTAAACCTGACTTTGACATATTTTAATTTGATTATATCTGAGATGTTGATTTATTTTATCCGAAGTAAAGTGCATAATAATTTTGAATGAATTTTATCTCTCAAGTACAAACGAATCGTATTGTGTATGCGCATATCGTATATCAAAGAGCACGTAAGAGTATAATAGACAAGTGCACTGAGCATAATGCGTTCAAGAAACCGAAACGATCGAAGTGGGTAATTACGACACACTCAAAGCCATTAAAGTTGACATTGTCATTGTCGCAGAAGCGACAGTTCATCGTTCATAAATGAGTTTAATCATTTTACAAAAGACTCTAAAATATTATTTTTCAATTAACAGCGCTAATGAGAATAGTCGAAATAAATTTCTAAGGTATGGATAAAGTTGTAAAACTAATAGAAAACCTTCATTCAACACTTGGTGTTTTGAAGCAATGTTGTTCCTTAAGACTATGCTAAATTAAATTTTTATCTCTTCATCTGTTTGTCATTCGATAATCACAAAGTCACAAGTCAAATCAAGTTGATTGAGCATATTTCATATTATTCATGACATGAAAAATAAAAACATGTGAAAAAATGTTGATCAATTCATTGAACTTTATTCTAGTCAAATGATAGATATTTAGTAAAATGGCTCTGCGTTATTGTAACTACTTACAAAAAATATGCAAACGAACTGTCGTTAAATATATCTATTTGAAAATTATCTTAGCTTGATCTACTGCGAGTAGTTAGTTGCCTATCACGTACTGCAAAACTAAAAGATTCTCTTTACTTCTAATAATTGAACTGTAAAGTTGATTTATTGCACATCGAATTATTAGCTGATATTTTTGAATATAGGTTCAACAAGCGATGAATTTCATAAATGAAATGCATTTTTCTTTTAAATATTCGGAGTTTGATAGTTTAATATTCTGAAAATATTTAAGTTTTGGTATGTACTTTGAACAATTTTTCTAATTGAATTGCTTTATCATCGATGCCGAATTAAAACAATCATAATCGAAAAATACTTTATTCTCATATTCTCGCTCTGTTTCATTTCATTTACACCATATACGTTGCATATAAATTTGAAAATGCCTGCATTCAGATTTTTATAAAATTTAGAGTTTATGTTAGCAGTTGTATTAGTAGTGCTGTTAGTATTGGTGTTAGTTGAGGAGATGCATTTTGCTCTTACTATAAGTCGCCGTTTGTTACTTACGACGAGAGCTACATGAAAAGCGGCAAAAGCAAACTGCATACAGACCTGCACTTGCATCTAGACTTTATATAGCTATGTATGTATAGGCAAAAAGTCACTGCCAGCTTTTATTTAATTCCTTGGCATTCGTGCTCTTTCTCTTTGAATTCCTAATTTTGAACGCGCGTATATTTTCACGCATACATTGCCGTATTCTCACTTGGACATTTGAATACGGCAAACTGAAATTATACGCAAATGCGAGATGTAAATGATAAGATGGAGATATGTAAAATAAAGTAATTGAGAGACAGAATCCTTTTTTAAAGAAAATTAATCAAATACTGAAGTTATTATGATCAATAAACATATTAAATTACAGTATTGATATAAAAGCTAGCATTGATTCATACTACTTATGATAGTATTTTAACACTCATAAAACACAAATTAAAAGGTAGCATACATGCAAGATGAAAAAATTTAATTTATGGTAATGGAATAAGCTGGATACATTTCGACCTAAAGTGCAGAATTTACATTTTTATATAATTGGAATTTAGATTTGATTATTTCGAGAAATTTACTAAAAAATTAATATGACAGAAATAATAATTATTAGTAGTATCTTTGTTGATCCAAACATTTTCAAAAACACATAGAAGTTAAATAGTTTTTATTACACAAAAAATCAAATTAACGCGACGTTGACTGTTTACGTAACTTCAATTCGCAACTTTTGATTTATTATAATTTTGATTATATGTTTGTTTCAATTTATTTATTCATGCATGAATAAATTTACTGCAACCTACGCATAATTTTATATTTCAAGTAGCATTAGTAATGGTATGTTTGGAACTGAACAATTTTATACATTTCAAAAAAGTATTTTGAACAAGACCCGAATAAAAATTTTCCAAAAAAAATATTTAAACTTGCTGTCCAATAAAAAAATTCTACAAAGCGATAAAATATATATCGACGCGTCAAGCTAAGATTGTTAAATCCAGCAAGATTGTTGTGTGTAACAAGTTTTAAGATAAAAATATAAATTGGAAGAAAATAAAAAAAAACACAACAAACACATGCACACCGTAGTCGAAGCATTAAAAATTTAAAAAAAAAGCAAACGATTCACTGAAAACCAACTGATCTATATAAAAGAAATAGCACACACCCATAGAGAGGAACTTGACTGTAACATTGGCCGAGTCTCGGCTGTTGCCGTTTATTTTATCTTTTTCATGTACACGCACACCCACACATGCAGACTATGGGCGGAGGTGTTTCACGTAACGAGCGGCGCCGGCAGCGTGAAATGGCAGCAGGTCTCGGAAGACCTGGTGCCGGTGAACATCACCTGCATTCAGGACACGCCCGAGACCATTTTCCACATTACCGCGTACAACTGCCAGGTGGACAAGATCCTCGATGTCAGACTCGTGCAGCCTGGTAATGTATAATAATAATAATAATAATAATAACTAATGACACATGTGATATTTTCTAGTACATACGATGTAAAATCCAATTTTGCACGTATACGGTATAAATCTCGTTTAACATGTGCAAGTAGTTTATTCGGTATTTTGTGTATACGCGCGCATCTGCCTTCGGGAGTTCGGAGTATATAAACTTTGTAGCTGTCTCTCTCTCTCTCTCTCTCTCTGGCTCTAGCATTTGTGCAACTCGAAGCGCTTCTGCTCGTCTGGCGTAAATCGTCTTACATAGATTACACACAGGCTTATCCCGGGCGAGCTCTTATATAGCCGGAGCTATTTTATATACAAGGCAAATCGAGAATCGCATTTGTTTATTCATTTGTTTATCGAACGAATGGGTTTCGCTCGCGCGCAGCGTGGCTATTAAATTATTTTGATCGAGTGAAGAAATATTAACGTATGCTCGTAAAAATTATTTGAAAGTATATAGTTGATTGAGATTAAAGGGACTACTAGACTTGGCCCCGTTTAATTCCGGAAATCGTTTCAGCTAGAGTCAGAGAGCGCTTAGGGGCTGATACTTTCGACCTTTTAATTAGGCACATGTGAACCGAATCATTTATTATTCTAGGCACTCGAATTGGACAAGCATCGGAATGTTTTGTCTACTGGAAGGACACAATGACTAATGACACTTGGGGACTGAATTTCACTTGTCCGATCGATGCCAAGCAATTTCGAGAATGCGTTGTAAGTATTATGCATTTATAGCCCTCGCGCACCCGCGCGCGCGTATTTACTCAAACACTTTCTCCTCGAAAGCTCCGATTAAGCTTGTTTACATTTTAAATTTGTACCATACCCGAAAGCATATAGCGGCCCCGTTAGTCCGGTTTGAATGATATTTTCTCTCTCGCACTCTCAATGCAGCATCCGAATGACCAAATCGGCGCTGCCCGCGTGGTATGGATGCTGCTGCAGCACCTATTCATTCATAATATAGTTAAACTCATTTATAGTTGCGATTCAAAATATGCCCGCGTTCCTTTGAATTGAGGATAATTAAAAAGAGTTTTTTACGATCCGGGCATAACAGATTTTTAAAATTTTTTTTTCAAAAAAGTTTCCGTAGTCACATTCGTGGCCTAATTAGGCATCTAGTGCGTGGTACAAATGCTTAATGGAGTTTTGAACCGATGTTGTTCAAATCGTGCTTATACAATTATTTGGACTTGGTCACTTGCAGACTTACAAATTTAACGATACTCGCCATCTAGCTGTAAAGGCTTGAAATATTATTATCTCATTTAATCTCATTAAAATATTATTATCTCATTAAAAGTGTTCTAAATTTTTTGAAACCATTAAATTATCATCTCAGATATCCGTACCCCACCCCATAAATCAAAATTTTGATCCAGTTTTCTGAAACTTCTAGTGAATATTTCTCTAAAAGGCTCTATGGTGACCTTCATCTTGATGTTTTTAAGGTCGCCATAGAGCCATTTAGAGAAATATTCACTAGAAGTTTCAAAAAACTGGATCAAAATTTTGATTTTTAGGCTGAGGTACGGATCTCCTTAAGTACCTTTGATATTTGCGACATATATTGCACCTTCGTCGTTCTTTTACTGCAATAAAAATGATTTTTGAAGTGATAATAACTCAACTGTTTCATTCTCGAATACACAGCGTTTGAACGGGATAAATTTGATTAAATTTGTAAAACGAACTCTCAAGCCAAACCATGAACTACGCGTATTCTTACGGTCTACATCTATCAAAATGTCGCCCATAGAGAAAAATGAGCCAGATTTCCTTTTTTTTCTCGCTGACAAACCTTATCCCCGAAATTAACTAATCCGTAACTTTGTCGCAGTCGCCGTCGTTCAAGATCCCGCGCAAGGCCTCGTCGTCGTACTCGCTGCGGCTGGAGCCGCTCAACTCGAAGCAGAGCAGCACCAAGCAGAAGGTGAGGAGGAAGCCGCTGTCGACCCCGGCCTCGCCGAGCCGCGGGGCGTCGCGCGAGCCCCAGTGCACCTGCATGACCCCCGAGCAATTCAATCGGCTGCGCCAGGATCCGAGATACAGGCCTACTTGCGGTGAGTATATAGCAAACAATATTTTATCACTGTTATTATTATTAGCCGCGTGCACTGCGCTGCTGCTGTTGTTTTTGTGCGGGCATATGTATAGTTGGTGTACTTTATGCGGTCGGGGATCGCTGCAGCAGTATACATACACACACACACACACACACACACACCCACGATACGTACGGGTGACCTGTGTGCTGCTCGTCGTCCCGCGTGAACCTTCCGCGCGCCAAGACCAAATGGAATAATAAATCGACCTTGCCATCGCCGCGAGGCTATCCGCTGCTGTATACTCCCCAGTGCAGTTCCGGTTGCGCAGCGTTTTCTCTCTTATTCACTCTCTCATTCGTGTGCACTTTTTTTCTCGTTCTCGCTCTCAATCGGCTCTACTACAACTGCTATCTTACTACTACGAGTATACGAGTTACTCGCTGCGCTGCGTTGAATTTTCAATCTCTCTCTCTCTCTCTCTCGTGCCGCACCTTATATGTAACGCGCCGAGTGTATGTATGCGTGTATGTGATACGGCACAAGTTTTTGGGGGCGAGTAAGTAGGCTAGTTTTAAACCGAGGCTGATAGTTTGAATTTTTTACACATCTGCGGGGGTGGCTAAAGCTGTTTCTCATACTACTACTACTACTAGCTCATCCACACACAAGAGTGACTGTTCGAGTTCGGAGTCCGCCATGCTACGGTATATTATATAACTCGGTGTAACCGTGAAGCTAGATTGATTTCTTGCGAACTACACGTGTATTATTCAACAGTTTAAAAGCTATCCCGATGCCGCTGCCGCCGCGCGTCTTAACGGACAGTAATTATTCAATCAACTTTTAGTACCCGTGCAGTCGAGGAAGAGAGTGACTGGATAATTTAACGGCTTGATTACTCTTGTCGGATGAAAATTTTCTTTGCCAAGTCTTTTTTTAATTTACATTCCAGCTTATCAATTATTACTGAACCAAAAAAAAAAATTTCATTCGCCGCAACTTTGCCCCACCCTGTGTCATCAAAATTTTGATTAATCTACGAGTGGATGTAGATATTATAGTATAACGGGGCTCTTCGCTCATTTCGATCGGTTGCGTCGCTGCTGTCGCTGCTGCTGTGGTTCCGCGCTGCAGTGATCGTCCTCGGATAATTTGATGAGTCCATCAAAATGATAATGCACCATTTGACTGAGCAATAATAATTTCCGTATGCCTTCGCAGCTACACATTCGCTTTAGCGAACTATCATAATGCACGCACGTTATATCTATAGCTCTAGCTCTATTTCTTGAATCCAATTATACGGGCAGGTCATCATTGGGTTGAAATCGGCGAGGTAAATGATCGAGCTGAGATTTTGTGCAGCGATGATCATTATCATAAACTTGAAATGTTTATTGATATATTTTTATTTCAATCAAAACTGATTTTTAACTCAATCTCTTCTCTCCAGCAGCGGCTCAAACTCTGCCGAGGCTGACCTCGCGCTCGGCCGACGCGGAGATGCAGCAGCGGGGCGACAAGATGCCCAACGCCGTCTCGAGCGGCTCGCTCTACGACAACGTCAACAACTCCAACAACACCGGCGTCGGACCCGGCGGTCAGATGACGGCCAATTCGGCGGCACAGGGCAAGCTTTTGAAGCCCGGCGAACAGCAGCAACAACAGCAGCAGCACACGCTGCGCCGCCAGACGAGCGTCGACAAGCAGCAACAGAGCGAGCAGATGTGTCAGACCGGGGTGAAGACCGCCAACGTGGGCATCGGCACGACCAACGTCGGCTCGCAGGTCCGCAGGGCTTGGTTCATGCAGGATCAGGTGAGAGGCCGCGAATTTTTCATTCTTTACTTTGTTCAAAAATGAACAGGTCCAAGTTTTTATTCGGTAATTAGAATTTTTTACTCGACGAACGGAAATAACAGCTAATTATTGATGAAAATTTATTAAATTTGTATTATACGATTTCTTTTCATTTTTGTTGAAAAGTCGATTCTACGCAACTATCTCGTATCGGTCATGGAATCGCTCTTTATAATGCAGAATCTGCATTGCAGATAATGTTTAGAGCAAAGAGTCAAAGAGTCGCGCGCGCACACACGCATTCCTCTCTCCGATACACATATGGTGCAACGTACGAAAATAAAAATTCGCACCGGTTCAAGATGTATTTTCTTATACGTATACACTTCTTTGCGAGTCGATGTACACCGAGACCCGGACCGGAAGTAGCAGTGACCAAGTGCACTGACCGAACACAAACAAAAACAATTAGCTGCTGTCGTGTAAACATCGGCGAGTTCGAGACACCACCGCACGCGAGCTTGATCCCGAGCTTGTCGGCTAGGAGATAGAGACGTCGTTGACCTCTCTCGGTCGAGAGCTCGAGAGCTATACATGACACATCGTACACGACGAGCTATCACCGAAGCTTCGAGATAATCCGCGCACACAGCACACATACGTCAATCTAGTCCCCTTCCCTGTGTTGACCTTCTTAGCCAATATTTACACGATAGCTGTTAATTATTATTGTTTGTATCCGGTCAGCGATCGACGTAACTATATATCAATCAATCCAAAATACTAATACAATGCATATCCAATTTCTACAGGTGGAAGGGCCCGACGGCGAGAACAAAGTAGGCTCGGCCACACCCGGCGGCGGGCCGCATCCCAAGAAGCCGCTGCTCAAGCACCAGGACAGCATGACCCGTCAGACGAGCTTCGACATGGGCACCCAGAGCAGTTTGGGTGGCGGCCTGATGCCCGGCGGCCGCTACCAGCACCGCAAGGAGCAGCTGCAGCACACGCGCAGCGCCGACTACACGGAGATGGAGCTGCGCAACGGCAACCTGTTCGCCAGCCTCGACAACAACAACGTGCCGCCCGGCACGCGACGCAACAAAAGTAAGAGCACCGACGACATGCGCATCGAGAACGCGCACCTGCAGGCGCGACCGCCGAGCGGTTTGCTGCCACCCCAGGGTGGTCCTTTGGGTCCTATGGGCCAAGCCCAGCAGCAACAGCATCCGTTACTGGCTGGCGCTGCTGGGCCGCCGGGCGTCGGTAGTATCGGTCCAGGCGTAGGCGGCTTGGGCGTGGGCGGGGTCGGCGGTCCCTTGCCGCCCGGCGCCGGCATGCTCGGAGCCGCGGGCCACATGCTGCCGCCGGGCATGGTGGTGCCGCCGCCGCCGCCGCCCCACGTCGTCGATCATCACACGCTCAAGCGCATGTTCAAGCCCATGTCGAGCATCGAGAGCCCCGTCACCTCGCCCGAGATGACGCGCAAGCGCCATCCCCATCACATCAACTTTCATCAATGCTATCCGAGCAACAACAATCAGCAGCATCGGTACGTCATGTCGGACGCCGAGAACGACAACTACGCCGTCTACAGGCAGCCCTATCACAATCGCCTGCAGACCCTCAGGAGGGTCCACGAGATGAATCGTCATTATTCCGGTATTGCGTCATTCATGCCATCTCTCTTCTTTATTTTTTATTACTTTTTTTACTATCTCTCTCTCTGTTACATTTACGCACCTCATTATACCTCATTTTTTTCTATATTCACGTTTCTACTCCCTTTTTTTGGAACAATCATGTTCGATGTGATTGTAGTTCTATCCGAGCAGGGGTATATCTATCTGAGAGCGTTTGCGTATAGCCGATATGATATTTTCATTTTTGTCACTGTCGGTCTGCAAAAGCTCTTGAGAATATAAAAAGAAACTTGACCGTATCTAATGATTTGGAAATAATCGACGGAACGCGATGAAATTACATTGTTTTCTTTCAAACGGATCTATTCGATGCTGATGTTAAAAATATATAACAAATTCAGCATCGATACAAATTTTTTGAAAACAAAGTTAATCGAATACTTCTTCAATGGTTGAGAACTACGATTTTTGAATTTTTTCTCTAAATTTCGCATGTTTGTTGTATCCTGTGATAATGGAGTCACAAATGTTTTTCTTTACATGACAATTTTTCACCAACTTTTTGATACTTTGAATTGATATACCTATCGATATAAAACTCCGAAAACTGTGAATTTCCGTTTTTACAATTGATCGTCTTACGCAGAAAAAGCCACATCATCATTCAATCATTATAATCGTTCTTATCGCCTTCGAAATAAAATGTTTCTCAGCGGTTGCGAGTCAAGAAATTATTTTCACAATCTGTACTACTTACTTCAGTAATTACAGTAGTATCTGTACTTCAGAAATTCACAGTCACCAAAAACATTCAACTGCAATTATACGTTTGAATGTTTTAACGGATGCCACGAATTCACTTTTTTCTTAACACAAATAAGTAAATAAAAAGATGATGTATTGCGCAACGTCGGGCAAGAAGTTTGTCAAAATACAGAACGCGCGACCAGAGAGAGCTCGAATTGAAAAGGGCAAAAATAAGTAGGGAAAAACATAGCTTTCTTCGCCCGGCGTTCATTAAAAAGTCAAATTTAAGAATAAACAGTTATCATCGTACTCGCTATCTCGTATCTTTTCGAAAAGTTTGCGGGTGTATAAAGTTCGAGTCGCAAAATTTTATCTCAAAATTTTATCGCAAGAACAATGCAAACTCTTACCCCAAACTAGCGCAATACATCATTGCATAATATTAAAAAAAAATTGAATAATGGCACTGAAAAAAACAAATGAACAAAAAAAAATGTTTTTTTTTAAAGCACAAAAAACTGTGTCATGATTTTATATCAATATTACTCCATCACGCTAATTTTTTTACTTATCACTTTTATCATCTATCATCATCATCATGCCTGTGTCTCTATTTGTTGTGTCTGTGTGTCACTACTACTACTACGTTCGCTCTGTGCACCTGCCTGCTCTGTCTATCGACTAACGCACACCACCACCACCAACCACCAACCACCGCAACCAACACCATGTTACACATCGCTGCTGTGTGTGCTGCCTGCGCTCCGCACTGTGTGTCACTCTCTGTGTGTGTATCCATGTCACACTGCACGCACGCACGCCGCAAAAAAAAAAAAAAAATCAGCACGCACGCCCGGGGCCGGTGGTGGAGCCAGCAAGTTGCCGGCGGGCTCGTCGGCGTCTCTGCCGAGGCCGGTAGCGCGCCATCAGCAGCAGAACAATCACGCGATGGGAAATGGTCCTCCTCTTCAACATCAGCAGCAGCAGCAGCAGCAACGTGGCAGGATTCCCAACGGACAATACCTGAATCTGAGCTCGAGCAATCTGGCCACCATGAACGGGGGTACGACGACGCACACGGCGACTCTGCCGCCCCCGGGTTCGAATTCGCGCTACTACGCTGCTGGCTCTGCTACTGTCGCACCCTCGGCCACCGCATCCTCGCTGCACGTAGTCGCGAACAACTCTGTGTCGTATGGCGGTGGCGGGCCGTCGCCTCGCGCGGCCTCCCCGCTCTACATTGATATCCAAGCGCAAACGTCCGCTGCGTCCTCCTCGTCTATGTCTATGTCGCAACCACAAAATCGACCAGTCGCGATAAATCGCTGTGTGGCTGGGACCGCAGGTGACGTGTCGCCGCCCTCGGACAACGTCATCTTCGACAACCAGTGCTACGCCACGACGCCGAGCTCCAGCAACGGCAACAGCGACCTCGAGCAGCAGCCGGGTGGACCAGCAGGAGGACAACCAGGTGGCGGTGGAATGCCGCACTGTCAGCAGCGCAACTGCAACGGCCAGGGACCGGTGTACGGGCCACCGCCCCCGCAGCGACCTCCCTCGGTTCAGGCCCAGCGACCGCCGAGCGTCCAAGCCCAGCAGAGACCGGCCTCGGTGCAGGCCCAGCGGCCGCCCTCGGTTCAGCGTCAGAACTCGCGCGATCAACAGCCCCAGCAGCAGCAGGGTCAACAGCCGGGACAGGGTCAAGGACAGCAGGGACAGAACGCGTCGACGCCAGGCAGCCCGACGTCGCGGCTCCTGCTCGAGTACGAGATGCATCTGCGGAACACGCTCGCCAAGGGTATGGACGCCGAGACTTACAGTATGCAGACCTTCGAGACAATCATGTCGCAAAGCATGGACGACTGCGGTGAGCTCACGCCGATCCCCCCCGCCCGCAACACCACACAACCAACCTTCTTCGATCTCAATTTCTCGCAGGCAAAATGCCTCGAGTGTGGTGCCGAGCTCTATAACTATCTATCTATCTCTTTTTTCCTCCAACCTTTCTTTTATCCGCATTATAGTATTTCGATTCTTCTCGGCAATGAGTTGAAAAATTCGCGCTACATTGTACACGGCACGCGAGTTTGAAGATTGACTTGGATTGGTAGTTCTTGAATTGCACACATACACAAACCGCACAATCAACTTGACCATATATAGGTTGAGAAACTGACTCGACTTTTACACGACTGACGTCACCCGGCTTGTGTAAATATACTTAGCCAGTTTGTTCATTAAATTAATAGATACATTGTTGAAATCATCATTAGCTATATTAGCTAGCTTTCATAAAAATAATGACAAAAGAACGTATAAAGCGTTTACTGAGCACATTGTAAATAAATGGTATTTATCTCACATGATGATGTTGAGTCATGCTCTATTGTTAAATATGTATACGCAATCACGCTTGTACCATCACTATGTTGTTGACAACAAATTTTATTACATGTATACGCGCGCTTGTGCATCCATTTTGGCTTTGAAAAAAAAATTGGACCATGTTAGTACTGGGATTTGGAGACATTTAGTTGAAAGCTGTTGATTTCAATTCGTGATTTCATCCTCATATTTTCTAAAAAAAATCATCATGATCAAAATAAAGGCAAATGCAATGTGTCTGCCATTTTTACGTTTTAAACAGGCTAACCAACTAATGAACATAGCTGTTGCGACATGATTTTCACACAGTTTTTTGTGACACCTCGAGAAAGTCGACGTGTCAATGCGATATTTGGGTTGACTGTTAACCGGTGACTATACATATACGAATGAAATTTAGTTGAATAACGAACAAAAAGGAGAAAGAAAATAAACGGCGAAATCTGTCGGCTCATGAAATCACAACGTAATCAAACACTCATACATACATATATACGAAATTGCCATTTAAATGCGCTGCTTTTCATTAATCAAAAATGTATGACCTATTAATGCTCGACGTTCGATTCTCGATTTGCGGTACACGCACATTATCTATACGTATTCACCTCTACGCGTGGTGTGGCCGCCAAATAATAGAATCGTCTATCATGGCTTGGAAGTCGTCGTTCGTATATTTTGGAGAGTCTCTGATGAGACAAGCGAATATATTATTGATATCCAGCGAAAATTATCCGCATCGATTATAATCGACACCCGATAATATATTCTTTGCAGATACGTTTTTGAACAAAGCGTGCACAGGGGCTTAGTAAAATCTCTAGAGTTGACGGAAAAAATATTAGATACATCAATGACGATTTACTAATTACAGAGTACGGTGACAACGCCAACGTCCAGCCGGGTCAACAACCCTCGCAGCGTACCCCGACTCCAAGGAGACGTGAGTTTTTGAAATCTTTTAATTTATTCGATACGAAAGAAGCGTACAAACGAGAGCAGCTCAAACGAAATTTTTCTTCTTTCTCAATTCGCAGGTTCCAGTGCCAACAAGTCGTCGACTTTGCCGCAGTCGTATCGCTACTGCACCGAGAGGCAAAACAGCCGCGACAGGGACGGTTACTACAGCGACAGAAATGAAATAATGCGCGAGAGGAGAGAACGTGATTATGATCGCGATCGAGGCTATCAAAGCGATTATAACTCGCAAAGGTAACGACGACAAATTTATTTAATTGTATTCGCTCGAGTTATTTCGAGATCGTGTATGTACCACCAAACGTTCTCAAACTCATTATCCAAATATATCATTCTTAAGGTCTTTGACGATCCAAAGACTAACGAAAAAGAAAGGCTCGGCTATTGAGCATTTGAGAATCGTACATTTCATCGTTATCACGATATCGCTTTTTCGACCTCTGCGTGAATTCCTTGCAACTTTATTTTGATTTTTCTCTCTCACTTTTTGCAGCAGGTGCGCCAGCTGCATCGGCGAATCGGCGCGAGCCCAATGGTTCCGTCACTCGGACGGCTGGCGGTCGGGGAGCTCGACCTTCGGCTCGACGGCCTCGAGCGTACCGACCTACACGGGCTTTCACAGAGGCGGGCCTTGGGACTCGCTGCCGTCGCTGCGCCACGAGGGCAGCCTCAACGACAGCGGCTACAAGTCCAATCGCACGGATTCCCTGGAACATCGGTCAGTGCAGTGGATTTTTGTTATACGCCTCAGTAAAGAGATTATTTTTCCCCTCTGAAATTGAATCTGTGGATTAGTTGATTGAGATACGTTTACTTTTACGTACGCGATCGAAGAGGTAAAATTGAAATAACTTTTCGCAAAAAAACTCCAATGGGAAATAGGTTTTATTTGGCCATGTGAGGCCTACAATTGCGCCTAAATGGAAAAAGTTATTCCGGGTGAATAAGAGCGGTCAAACTTTCATACACTTATCGGTCGTTGTGATAAAACTAACGCAAATAGAGAGAAAAAAAATACCTCAAAAGCTCGTGCGTACACGCCCAAATGTATATACTAGACTAGAGGCAGCTGTTGAGAAAAAGTTTCGCTTTGCCTAGTTTTCTCGCTCTACGGAGATATAATTACATTTCTCGCCAGCGACTGCGTCACTTTATTGCGTTGACACGCCCGTCGATTTAACACCGTGAGTTTGCTCTCTCTCCCTTCTCTCTCAGACACGGACTTGGGGAGTCTGCACGAATATCGTTAGCGAGCAGGAAGAGACAGAGAAATGATTTTTCTCCCGAGAAAATCGAAAAACTTGATTAAAATTATGAGGATTTAATTGACCGAGTTTCTGCTTTGAGAGCTGTGTAAAGTGAACTTATGTCGGAATAATTTTTCTTCGTTTGAAATTTTTCGGTTATGGAAAATTGATTAAAATTTACCAAAAAAAAAAATGTTTGATATACGTTTGGTATTGCTACGATGTTCACTGCAGCTTGTTTTAAAGCTCATCGTTCGAAGTTATAAGTGCTGAAACTTTTGGGTATTTTTGTAACAATAATTTGTAAAGTTGTTTAAATGAATTATATTTCAAATATACCCATATAATAGTTGTTTAACAGGGAAGATGTATAACTTTATTGCAGATCTATTTACCTCCACAAAAACTCAAGTTTTAGCTAACGTCGGTAACACAGATTGCAGAGATTACCTATTTGGGGTAAGCTTTCTCGAGTACCATAAAGGGGTACGAGGAAAAATCATTTTCCGGCAGCTTGTTAATCGAACACGGATTGTATCATTTACTTTTAATTTCAATCAAATTATTTTTCCAACAATTAAGCTATTCGATTGTGTCTATAAATATTTTTATTTCACTTTAACTTTGATATGACTTGCGTGACTTTAAGTGAATCCACACGAATCTACGATTTTGCGTATACAAATATTTTCACTTTATCACTTGCAGATTTGTAGATAAAAGTATACTTGCCATCTAGTGTCGAATAGTTGAACTTATTTCGGATCATTTAAACTACGCTTAAGTTGTAACATAATTGTAAGTTGTGTTTTGAAAAATTTTAAATGGTCATGTTTTGTTGATTATGCTACTATTATTATTGAGTATTTCTAAAAAATCTCTCGAAAAGAACTCTCTTCTAGTAAAACCATTTCATCAAATCGTCAAATTTCTAAATTTCATCCTGTTAATCTGAGTGCTCAGTAAATATAATTTCAGTAGTAGTTACTGATTTTAGTCAGACTTCAATGTATGATGATACGTTGTAACTTAAAAGTCAAAATATTTAGTTTACCTTTTTCCCCAGCTATTTTTTATTGGATTTTAACAAAATGGGTATTTTGAAATTTACAAAAAAACGAAAAATCTCTAAAAATTAGGAAATTAAAACTATAAACTTATGCAAAGATTCTTAACTAGTTTCAACGAGGTCAAATAAATTCTCAAGTTCGAGAGTATAACTGGATGATGCTTAGAGAACTCCAAAATGATCTTCTCATATTCCTTCACAAAGTTCGTTAACTCTGATCTTATTCGAGATTGCGTACAGTCAATCACAAGAGAGATCTTGCTTAAACTCAAGTTTATCGATTACAAATGCAATTAATGCGCTTTTGTCGAGGCAATTTAAGTAATGAAACAGAACAGATTTTCATGTAATTGACTTTTCTCAATTTATGCGTAGCGCATATATTATATTTATCGTATTAACGACCTAGTTTCGCCGCAATGAATTCAATTTCGCCATGGATGATTTTTTTTCTCATTTCATACACAGGGGCACATTTGATCGTCAGGACAGCGTGAGATCGGACTACATGTCGGACCGAGAGAGCAGATACGGCATAGTGCAGCAGGCCTCCCTCGAAAGCACTGACTCGAGACTCTGCTACTTGACGTCTTCAGAGGTGAGTAAGATTTTTGACCAAGTGCTCTGTTGACCTCGTGTGCTTTTCCTTATACCCCCCGTAAGCACATGCACTCCGTAAAATGTTATATAATTCTTATAATATCGGGAAGTCTCATGCACTACCTAAAGATGGTACGAAATGCAAAAATGGTGAAAGACTGCCATGTATTTGGCTTATGAGATTTTTTTGGAGTATGGCTTCATTTCGTACCGGGGATCAGAAAAGTTAATTTCAATACCTATAGAATTTAAATATTTTGTAACAAACCAAAATCTTGAAATTGAATATTTTCTTCAGAGTTATAATTAATATTAAGAATGCGAAAAAAAATATATTCGCGCAACAATATCTGAAAAGGTAAATTACTTGGTAAACGTTTCCTCGAATTTGCGCATTACTCAAGCGTTAATAGCTTTGTAGGCGATTATAAGAAAAAAAAGAGGAGGGTGAACCACAAGATCGCAGACTTTTTTACTGCTGTACACGCGATTTAAAACCCTACGCTGCAACACCACTTATCCAGTCATTTTTTCAGTGAGAACACCCTAAAGCTCGCGTAATTTCATTTTTTCATATAAAATGCCTGTAACAGCATACTTGTTTTAAATTAAAAAAATTTCAGTTTAGTTTAATTTAACGCTATAAAAGTATTTCTTACATGTAAAATGTTTGAGCAAACTGTTTTCGCACATTTTTTTGAGCCAACGACTGACTACTACCACGTAATCCGTAAGACAATAAGATTTTCATACGCGTCGCCTACATTTTTAAATCTTTACTTTTAATTAGCGTTGACCATCCGCTCACGTCTTTTTCACGATACCTAACGCGTAATTGGCAATTGCAGAATGTAAAAATGAGCGATATCGAACTGCGCGCGGATTTCTTCAGCTTCCACAAACTTTTTCGGCCATGTTTGTTCGCAAAAAAGAGAGTATTCGGTCAATGGATCCAATATCTGCTCTTTTTTTTCTCTCATGCACGTTATCAAAGCATCGATTTATTACGCTGGGCACTTTCGTCGTCGACGTAGTTACGTACGTGTTCCCGATTCGATCTTTTTTTTTTGTAATAATTGAATAAAAGTTATTCTTGTTATAATTAAATTCGTAAAATTTGACGTGTCTCCATTCAATTATTTTAAAATCCTTTTGCATTAAAAAAAAGGTAAGTTCAATTCTACATTAGAAAACCATATTATTATGCGTACACGATTGCAGAGGAAACGCTTTTCGAAAAACGATAACAATAAATTCTGCAACTCGTGAACGCGAATGCGTATTGAAAGCGCGTGTCGCAAAGTCGATAACCCAGAAATCACTGAGAGTCCTCTGGGGGGGTGATAATCTATAGATGCTGTGCGCATGTAACCTCCTCGTTTTCGAGGTCGCGCGTGAAGAAGTGAAAACTATCATGTAGATTCTTAAAAAACATTATTTTCGCGGAGATACGAAATCTTCTGATCCGATTTATAAGTCTAAAATAGTCGACGTATAAAATCGAATAATTATCTTACATTAATAAAATTAAAGCACGAAGCGGATACACCAAATCCTGCCAAATTTACATAATCATTACGTTGGCTTCGAGCGACACAGTTTTGTGTTAATTTTCTGTGTTTCGCGCAGTTGTTTTCGCTGCAATTTCTCTCTTATCAACTTTCAATCAAGCAAACTTTGTACTTTTTCAATCCATCTCTCTCTCCTATTCTTCCCGCAACACAAAATGAGTGCATTATGCCTTAGTGTATCATGGGCTGCGCGCGCGGCACAGGTTCCTTTTTTATCTCTCCGCGCGCGGGGGCGCATTGTAAAAGTAAACTCAAGCGGATTCTTTGTAAACTGAGCACTGCTCGTAGCCAGCCAGGCCGACTTTAAATTAAATATATATATATATATATATATAAAAAAAGTGGTGAAAAAGTCCACGACAGATGCGCTCCGCAGATTGGAATATGAAAAGTTAGAGAGCTCCGTTTCCTCCTTTCTCTCTCTCTCTCTCCACACATGTTAGTCTTTTATCCTGCGCGAGCTGTGTGCATTTGAACCGTATATATAGTGTATATGCGCTTGCCGTCCTTCGAAGAATTAAACAAACTGAATGAGCGCGGGGCGGCTGCTGCTGCTGCTGCGATTTTTGTAACGTGTTAAACCGGTTGACCTGATTTTATATAGATGTGTGTACGTCGAGAGAGCTGCAGCGCGTGCAGTGACGTAACCATTAACCGAGAGCTGCAGCAGCAACGTCGATCTATTTGATTCGGAAATTACAAGAGCTAGGCAAGTTTATTACATTTCGCAGCTCGGGATGAGCTGTTTCTGCATGCTTACTACTGCTGCGCATCATAAGTTCTGCGGCCGTGTATTTTCGCGAATTAAAAATATCGCAAACATTGCGAGTTGAAGTGAATTTCATGACTCGTTTCAATTAACTCGATCGCGCGTGGCAGCAGCAGCACGTCGTTATACGTCCGCGTATGTTTTCATAATGAATGACTTGTTCGTGCGATGATATTGAATAAACAAACGAAAAAAAAGTGGAATATTTCAATTTATTCGTGCACACACATACACGCGCTCGGGGGTTTATTTTTCTCGATCGCGCGTCAGTCACTTTTGCAAATTACTCGGTCGCGATGATAATACGCAGAAATTCAAACGTAACCAATATCCATTTGCTCTGCAATGTGCCACCTACTCCGCCGCCGCTGCCATTCGATAATATTACGCGCTCGCCGCGAGTCGGGTGTCGAGTGTGAAGAGCAGCAACAGCAGCATCATCATCCAAGCTCAATCGAGCTTGCACGCAAAACCTTACTCACACAGAAATGTGCGGGGCTCGATATAAGCCTTTTGTCGCGCTTGTTTTCGCGAAGCTGTATTATCTATCTGTAGCGTCGTGTATATTTGTGAAATCGGATGGCGCCCAAAAAAGAGACAAATGTTTTGTTTGTTGTTGACTGACAAGAAGAGCTTGTTATAAAAATGTCGTAGAAAAATATGTGTCGGAGACGTTTTTTTTCTCTCTAAAATCACTCGGTGGCTTAGTCGAACAAAAATCATGATCGGATCATCCGGGGGGCAAAATTCAGTGTCATTCTCGACACGGCAGACAACAATTTTATACACCATTTCAACCGAATACAACTCTATTTTTATTAGAAGGTAAGGCCATTCAATTTGACAGAGAATCGGCTCATTTATATACTATAGGTATAATACACACACCCACACACACACACACACACACAACATGCGATCGCTCAAGAGTGTACAGGGTGGAGTGTGTATGTATGTGCGAGCGTAAATGCGAGTGCAGCTCGCAAACTAGCAGAGAAATTCTATGACCTATAGTACCTGGAGTATAGCTGCACAAGTCGCATTGTCGCGCACGCGATATATGCCCGGTCGTGCTGGTGGTGCTGTTATGCTGCTGCTGCTGCTATACAGCACTGCAACCGCAGTAACTGCAACAAAGGTTTATACGGATTGTTGCGCGCGGAGCCACACGCACACACACACGTATACATATAGAAGCTGTTGAGAGAAAGAGAAAACCAGCTTGCCAGTTGTATGGTATAATACGTATCGAACTGATTCCGTGCGCAATGGCAGCCACGACTACGACGACGACTACGACGAGATAACAAAATCTCGAAAAGACACGCGTTTGTGCAAATTGTGTCTATATACTTTATACTGACTATAGTTTATTTTGTTCGAGCTGATTTGAGAGTACGAAAAAAAATGAAATATTTATTGGGCAAATATCATCCCTCTAGGTACAATAAAGGACGTGGTTATGATTGCTCCGAGGTTGCGCGAAACGTACTTGAAAACTGCTGGTGACAATTATTATGTCGTACTATATTACAGCAGCAGCAGTAGGTCGCGTCCCAAGGCCTCGTGTCTTTTCTTCTCTTCTCTCTCTCCCTGCGTCGCGAGCTGACGGTCCAGTTCATGGCTCTGCTGCACCTACCTATATAGCTATATGTAAAGCCGACTTTCTATATCCTGCGGCACATTGTGAAATATATGTTTCCATTGTAACGATCGGCTTATTATAACCACTTGAAAAGTAGAAATATGAAATGAAAATGATAATGACATTCGGAATGAAGCTTTGAAGCTTCTCGACTCTTATAGAGCTTTTTATATAAAGGAATAAATGCGTGTAACGACGATGAAGCGACGGTATATTGCGAAAAAAACGTAACGTCGTGTGGGAGTTGGGAAGAAAAAAATAAATGAAGACTTGGGTGGAAGGGGACGAACGAATATCATTGGGATCTAGGACAAAGTAGGGAATCGGGAGCGGAGCGCGACACGATGTTCGGTGCACCGATGACGGATTACATTTATTTAGTTAATCGTGTACATAAACTCCATGTGTGTGTGTGTGTGTGTGTGTGTGTGCGTGGCAATGAAATGGTCTGTCAGAAGCGCAACTGCTCATCCGCGACACGTGTATACAAAAAATTTGTACCCGATAAAGTTTATTCGAATGAATGGAAGGAAAAAAAGTTGTGAGGTATTTAAAATTATACGTGACACGTTTATAATTACTACTTAGCGAGTCGTATATTAGACACGCTACGTAGAATATTTAAAAAAGCTCAAAAAAGCCACTCGCGTCAAATGATTTTGTGCGGTTCGGTGCAAAATCGTCCGGGCGAGACATATTATACGCAGCTCCATATGACACATCGTTTCTCCGTTAGATCTTACATTTAACGCGCGCTGCATTTTCTAAAGAGCCGCCGTCACCACCGACACGTAAATTCGACGACGTATATACACGACGAGTTATATACTCGCGCGAACACCTATACTACATATATACAGATCGTATATGTGTATGTTAAAGTGCAGCTGGCCGGGTAGCATTGGTGCGCTTTTACTGCTGCTGCTGCTGTACTCGGTGCATAACGCGTGCAGGCGGCCTTTGACGAAGGCAGCGGCAGCAGCAGCTTTTATTAACTTGCCTCTTTCTTGCCG